TTGCGGGCGGGACCATAGGGAGTTATGATATAATATTTCATTGCAAAAGCTTAAAAGCTTCTTGAGATATCGCTCAGAAATGAAAATTTTACACACAAACAGAATGTATAAATCTTTGACCTTGAACTTTGACCTTTTGATCTCGAAATCAATAGGGGTCTTCTTTAGGCCATAGAGAGTTTCAGTATAAAATTTCATTGCAAAAGCTCAAAGTCTTCTTGAGATATTGTGCGAAAATAAAGTGTTAAAACAGACAGAATTTATGAATTCATGACCTTGACCATAAAATCAATTGGGGTCTTCCTTAGGCCACAGGGAGTTGTTATATAAACTTTCATTGCAAAGGCTGAAAGGCTTCACAAGACATCGCACAGAAACGAAAGTGTTACAGAAAGACAGACTGACGGACGGATGGACATCAGACAAACCTAAATTAATATCCCCCACTTTAAGTGAAAGCGGGGGACAAAAAGGCAAATTTTATATCCCATTGTGTCCTTGAACTTTAACCTTCTGTCTGTATTTACCAATTCATATGATGCTAGTTACATGTATTGTCTACCAGAACTGTAATTTTGTTTATTCATATGTTGTGTAAAACACAAGTATTAGTTATGACATTGAAAAAATGTGCTTAGTTTCCTTAATGTTCCATCTAAATCGAGCCATTTTGACCTTGACCTTTGACCTTTTCTTATGAAAATTGATTATTTTCTTTGTTTTTGCTATTGTGTACTACATGTACAAATTTGGTTTTAATCCATTTTAAAATACTCAGGTATTTATATGGAAACTGATAGTAGATACCTATTGCCCATGTCTGCAATTCTTAAAAAAAGCATAAGTTTGTAACCATGGTAACATGAAAACAAGATATGAATACCAAGTGTTTCTTTGCAGTTTATATTACAACTATATATGGACTCTCAAACCAATGTATTTATTTTTTCTAATATGTCCGCAAAAATTTATACCAGGCTTTTCAAAAAAGCCTAAAATCTACAATTTTTCCTTGGAAAAATCATACTTAAAAAGGGGGGATATTTTTTCTATGAGGTTAAGATACTCAAATACTAGAAAATATCTAAAGAACTATAAAAATGATGTATTTTGGCTAAAAGATAAAGTCATGTAAATATCTTGTTGTATTAAAGACTTTTAATTAGTCAAAAATCGTAATTTTTTCATCAAAATTTAGCATTTTTTAAGCCATGAAAAATGTATGTTGGTTGCCATGGTAACCATTGACCATAGCAACCATTTTTTTCATGAATTTTAGTTTCATACATCAATATAGGAATGTGTGCCAAGTTTCATAAAAATCTAAGACCTAGCGTGCCACACTCCCTATATAAGAGTTTAAATGCTTACAGAGAATGGCTATTAATATTTTGAAAGTATATCAAAGAAATTCATTCTTTTTGAAACCATGGCAACACTTCATCAAAATAAAAAAAATTGATATAAAGAATAATGTTTCTCAGTGTAGTCTACTTGTGTGCCAAGTTATATTGAAATCAGACCAAAACTGTAGGAAGAGTAGCATTTTGAAAGTATTTCACAAAAATTTCTATTTTTAGTAACCACGGCAACACCATTCACCGAAATCAAAAACCAATTCCCAGAATTATGTATCTTAGTGTAGTTTACTTGTGTGCCAAGTTATATTGAAATCAGACCAAAACTGTAGGAGGAGTAGCATTTTGAATGTATTTCACAGAAATTTCTATTTTTAGTAACCATGGCAACACCGTTCATCGAAATCAAAAACCGATACACAGAATTATGTATCTTAGTATAGTCTACTTGTGTGCCAAGTATACTGAAATCAGTCCAAAACTGTAGGAGGAGTAGCATTTTGAAAAATTGTTTACAGACAGACAGACGGACAGACAGCTAGACGGACGGAGGACGGACAACTTACTATCGCATAAGCTCTTCTGGTCTCTGACCAGTAGAGCTAAAAATTGATTATTTGATATTTTCCAATTGCAAGGCATATAAATGGCTACCTGGAAAACAAAATTAATATGTACATTGTAAATCTAGTTTTCAACTGATAGACTTAGATTTATCAAAGATATTTCATTTCTTGCATAGTTTATTTACATAATATTTACACTTCAGAGTTAAAACATTTTTCTCTTCTCATCTCTCCATATTTTAAGAGCCTTATCAAAGTCGCAAATTTGTTGTGTTCTCTTCAAAGTTCATTTTCAAATACCTCATTATTATTTCATTTTTGTGAATGTGTATTATTAATTAATGAAAACAAAAAATAATAAATTAACAACTATATTATGAAAACTAATAGATCTACTACTGCATGCCGACTGAGCGACTTTATCATGCAATCAGCCTTTTTTCCACTTGTGATCGCCAAAGACAGTTATTAGCTCTAAAATATATGTCTGTATTCACAGCATGAATTAATCTCTTGACAATAAAAATAGTCGAAATTCATCTCCAACATCTTTAGTATGACATCGATTGAGGTCCAGCTGTTTTGCATCTTGTTGTGTTTAACTTGTAACAATGTACCTTTTAATATGCAGAAGCGTAAATTCTAGAGGAGTTCCGACCGAGTATTCGATGATGTGGTCATCAGGAGCGAAATAGCAGATAATATCATAGGTGCAAGCGCCCTGCTGTTATTCACCTATTTCAACAGTAATAACACCGAACAGATTTATAAAATAGTGACAATATTCAGGGTTTGACACTATAAGGCACATCCGACTGACCCAGTCTAGTAAATGAGTGGTCCGGCTGTGTAAAATGTACTTGAACTAGACTGACTGGTCGTGTTTATAAAATAACTGTTAGAGTCCTATTTCAATGTTCAATAAATAATCAAATTTTCTTCTTTCTCCGAAGCCAAAAAATCCAAGCATAACACAATCGTTATTTTAGCCATGGCTGTAACTGGCAAGTCAGTTGAAACTCGAAACTACTGTCATTCAGTATCAATATGGTTCAATAAGTTACATATAGTACAGTTTTAAATTTATCAATATTTACGATAATCATTTTATTTAATTCATCAATGTTCTTTAAGGCTTATATTACTTGAATGTTCCGATGAACCAAATTTAAAATACATCTAATCCAGAGACCAATCTAGGGGGCGACTGAAGAGAAAAAGTTGCTTCTGAACACCAAACTTTGCCATAAGTTATTACCAAAGCGAACTTTATGTTGCCTTAAATTTTCCCCCTTTTTTTCAATCATAAAAATCTATCAAGAGCATTTGATAATATCACCTCTAGTAACAGATCTTTTTGGTGTTATCACTGCTGAATTGAGATTAATCACAGCAAGACATTTACACCTGTTTTGCTGGTACATTGACCACTGTATCAAATACTCAATTGAAACTCCTTTCATGTATGAACAAGACGTAAAACACATGGACATGATGTCATGCCAAAGATGTTGAAGAGGATTTTAAATCTTTTTATAGTCAAAAAATTAATACAGACATTTAACCGATAAATTGTAGGCTATTAAAAACAAGGCTGACTGTGAAAGTCGCTCGGTATGCAAGTATGATCATGTGGTACTGTACTAACAGATTGTGTATGGTGTCATTGACTTGTTGGACATCATACATATGATTCTTCCGGCGGGAGACAAAATCTCCCGATATTTCACCCCCCTTCCGCCCCTTCTGATTAATTTTTAAATCTTCCGTGTTTTAAAATTCTTCAAATTAAATATTATTTGCAATATTTTTTTGATCGTGTTTCATATAATTGCTCAGAATGAAAAGAAATTGAGATAACAACGCCAGTGCAATAAATTTTCACAGCGGTAGGCTTCGTAGGAATCAACATGAGGTTGTATAATTATGTTGTAAAAATTAGTGATATATCAACTTGATAAAAGACCATTGATGTTTAACTTTATTACTGAATGCAAAACATTGTAATTAGTTTCTAAAATACCCAGTTGCCACCTTCTAATGCTGCTTTGGTCATTAAAAAATAGTTATAATGTAGGTCACACTCTAGTTAAAAATAGATCACACTACAGGGTGTTGCTAAAATATACCTGACTCTGTTAATTTTTTTAAGAGGGTACTTTTTAAAAAAAAAAAAACAAATTACTGACATAGAATTTGTTACATAAAACCTAGCTATGTTTTACTTCACTTACTAGTTGATATATCAATACTAAATCAAAAATAAAATTTTTTCCAATGTTTTAATGATGCTGTAAACTCTTAATTAATTTACTAGGAAATGAGTTGATTTCATTTTGAATACTCAATTTCACTTCATTTGAATAAAAACTTTATCATATTTTTCTTAAAACTAAACAACAACTTTATAAAATAAAATTTGTAAAGTAATAAACTGGGAGAAGGTATTTTTTTCCTGAATTTTGGGGGTTGGATGGTCTTTAATTTGCAATTTGAAAAAATGTCGATAAAAAATCTCCAGCTTTGAGACCCAAACTCCAGCTGAAAATTTTCAAATCTCCAGTTGTGATTTTTCAGTTCTGTCACATGTATGGGACATGCAGTGTAGAGAAACAGAGGAGTGGATCAATATATTTCATAAATTGTTAATGCTGATATGAAAGTTGAAATTAATAAAAAAATTTATATAAGATGTTGAAACAAAACAAATTGTTAAAAAATTACATAAATAATGGTGATTTAAATTTAATTTTTTATCCCTTACATTATCAAAGACTCTGATGTAGTTAAACTCAGTCATAAGATCAGCTGTCCTTCTTCTCCATTAGTACTATATTAAGAGGTCATTTTTTGTTTTACACAGAAAGAACATATTACAGACAACACATTGAATATGGATATGACATGCACCAATACTGCTTCTGATAGGTTAGACATAATCAACAAAGATAAAGATTATACAGAGAAATCCTTCCTGTCCCAGACTGTGAGAAAGGCACATTACTGAAAAGCTCATTCAAGGCCATGTTCTTCGAAAGAAAGAACTGTCAAATTGGCAGAGTTGACAAACATTTACCTTGGACGTCCATAGTCCGAGTCCATGTGTCTCCTGTCTTCTCTCTCTGGGATATCATCTTCTTCACGCCCATCTTTAAGGGTCACATCCCTTCCTGCCTCCTTTTCCCTTTCCCTTAGAAATTTCAAAATAGGTACCTGGCGAACCTATTAGAAAATTTTTTTTATTTAAACGTCACTTCTTAATCTAATTCTTGTTTCCAAATATCAAGTGTTTTCTTCTTCTTCAAAGATATTGTCAATCAGAAACTCAAGCATCTTTTCAATATCAACTTCAGAGTACTTGTGTGTACAATCAGAGTGCTTTTTAACAAAATAATTTTGTAAATGACCAATGACAAGGTAAGTATATTTACGAGTTCCATTTTATTTGAAAAAGCAGCTGTCTATGATGTCATAAAGCCTGGACTTCAGTTTATCGTGGGGAATGGTTGTATAAAGTGTTGAAAAATCATACGTTTTGATGCTATTGATTTTAGTAAAATTTTGTAATTTTCCAGAAGTTCTTTGGAGTTTTTAAATTTCCACATCTGATTTACACCACTCTTTGAATATACTGTTGAACGGTACTCCTGAAGTTTCTCCTTCATTACACTAAATATTTTAGTGAGGAGTAAAGAAAGAGGCTTGGTAGAACATTTACTGGAACCTGCTATGTACCTTTGTTTGTAAGGATTTTTATGAAGTTTAGGAATCCAGCAAAGGTATAGTTATTCAAATTCATTTCGATTGTTGGGAATATTAAAATTATCTAAAATGGCCATATGATATTGAAGAATTTCCTCCTTAGAAAGGGAGGTATGGGTGTAAGTTGGATTTCCACCCGTAGAATTAAATCCTAGTTCCTCTAAAATACAATTCAAATAATGAGCCTTACAAAACAAAGACTATGTTATTACCAGCTTTGTCAGCTGCAACCAGTACATACTGATTTTGTAATCTATCTAATTCCCTTTTCACTTCTGAATTATTAAAGACAGAAGGATAAATAGTTTTCATTCAATCGCTCAATGTGCGATTTCAACATCCATCTGATGCTCTTAATCCATTCTGACAAAGTGTCAAGGTCTTCTTTTTCGTGTTCATAATCTTCCACAGAATTCATAATATTTATAAAATTATGAAGCCAGTTGAAAGAATGGGGTTCCCTAGATTTTGGCCCTTTTAAAATAAGGGATTTAAGGTCCTCATTCTTAACCATATTTACATCACCAGTAATGACGTGTCAAGCAGGACTATAGTTGTAGGGTGGTGAAGAACATGAACACGTAGGAGGATTATGTATCAGATGTTCGATATCTAGGCATTGTAGAGTTTTTTTGTAATTAAAAAGTTTGGAAGCAATTGTCCATGTATATTTATAAGAAATACAAGGTGTGGACTTCAACTTGAAATATGGTGGAATACAAGACTGGACCCTTTCGTGATTAAGAATAATACTAATATTAACTGTGTCAATTCCTTTGTTTACAAATTGGAGTTTAAGGAACAAACGGGTTGTTTGAGCAGTGTTATCTTCCATAAAACTTGGCGGTTTAAAAAGTTTATGATTTGCGATATCCATTATCACAGATCCAAGCCTGTATTCTGGTGTCGAAGAATCCAAATATGGACTTTCCTTGACCTTTTCAAATAAATCATATAGATTTTTCAAAGGGACAGAGTAAAGTTTGATGTGAATGTAATGGAGACCTAACTGTTTATTTACATAAGGTAGTAGTGAATCAAAAGAAACATTGTGTATAATAGGTTTATTGTATGACCGATGTCCATGACTACGCTTACGTCTCTGAGCATTGTTAAAAAGTCCCTTCACATTCACATGGCTACACTGTGGACTTGACAAATTCCCAATACTATCAACATTGTCATTGCTTTCATATGGAAAGGCTGTGCCTAGTTTCCTTATCCAGTATTCTTCTCGTTGTCTACAAAAAGGTGTACTCAATGATGGACTATTAGTATGATGGTAAATCTTTTCTAGAATTCTAACTTTCATTGATAAAATAGAATGATCATGCAGGTAAATAAAAGTGCTTGTAGAGAAGCTGCTGACCCCCGTTGTTTATTTGAAATCTGTAATCTGATATTCTTTTATGAAGTGATCTCTTGGTTTCACCAACATAAATAAGTCCACAAAGGTTACATTCTATTCTGTAGACAACATTTGCAGATTTGCAGTTCAGATTTTCCCAAGTTTTGGTATAAAAGCTATGTCCTGTCAAATTGTTAGTAAAAGAAGAGTTTGTAATCAAAACATCACGTTTTACAGTTTTTAGCAGAACATTTGGAAATAAATGCCATTAAATTGGAAAAGGATTCATCAAATATATCATTAAGAGAAACTTTACATTCCAGTAAAAATTTAGAAATTTGTGAAATTTAGTACTGAATTCTACCTACTTATAGACAAGTCCATAACATGTCTGAAAATCCTTATGGGGTTAAGTCTATATTTAATTTTTTTAACCTCTCACAGTCACATGAAGCATAAATAAAACCTATTATTGAGGGGTTAACCCCAGAATATAAAAATAACCCCAGAATACTGGAAAATACACACATTTAACCTCACAGCTAGTGTACCTCTGGTAAGACGACGGACACCTTACTATCCGGTGCATCGAAACGCCGAAATGTCGGGTTTCTGCCGAAATGTAAGTAGAATGCGCCGAAATGACTGTGAAATTCTGCAATGATTATGGATATCAATTGATACGGATACTAATACCTCACAAACGTAAACTTTTTAAGGTCAATCCTTACCCCTAAGGTTTTAGAGCCCATTTTATCGTAAATAGTGGAGGAAGTCAGCCGCCATTGACGGGCTTCATAGTATACCGTATACCACACCTGATTGTTTTTTTTTTAAATCCCCCATATCAAAAAATAATACATAAAAGTATATTTTTAATATATTTTTAATACAATCATTTTCGTATTGTTTAAAATTAATACAGAAAAAATATATTATTTTTGTATCACCAACAAATAGGTAGATTATTTTTGTATTAAAATCTGACTTTGATTTTTTACAGGGTATTATTTTTGTATTTTTTGGGACTTAGATTATTTTCAGTATATCATTTTTGTATTTTTGTGGACTTAGTTTTTTTCAAGTGTATTTTTTCTGTATTAAAATTGAACTTAGTAATTTTACAGAAAATTACATACAGTTAATCTGTATTATTTTTGTATTAAAATTGAACTTAGTAATTTTACAGAAAATTACATACAGTTAATCTGTATTATTTTTGTATTAAATTTGGACTTAATAATTTTTCAAAAAATACTATACAGTCAGTATGTATTTTTTAAATATATTTATTTTGGACTTAGTGTTTTCTTTTACTGGAATTTGTGTTTCTTTGAACTTAGGAAAATTTACAGAATGTCCTTGCAATAAGTCTGTTGGAATTAATATTTTTTCTCAGATTTTATTAATTAAGACCACTGTTATAAAGGTTGCTTTTATACTATTTACATTTAATTGCTATTTAGAACAGAAAACTTCAGTAGTTTAAATTTGTTGACTAAACAATTTCATTTTTAAAACATGTCTTTACTAGGTGTGAAATTGTCATTTGGAAAGAGATATAGATACGTCTAAGGGGACACTTGTGCTGTACATGATACTTGTAAACACGCGGTAAATTTTGAAGTTTCAGAGTTTCAGACTTTCTTTTTGTGTTGAAAATTTTACAGTGTGTTTACAACCGAGTGTTTACAACTATCTCCAACAGCACAGGTGGCCACCTGCAGGCTAACAATAGACAGTACATGTTATACTACTCAAAGAAATAACATGATTTACCCTTGAAAACACATCCCAACCAAAAAAACAAAAACAAACAACATGGAGAGTTCACTAATTACAGTACCTACGATGTTTTCTTGACTATACAACTCAATTTAGTATACATTATATTTAATTCAGTACGCATTACAATTACATGGAATAGAACTATTTAATTATCCGCTTTTAAAAAAAAAATTAAATAAGAAATTATTACGAAAGAATATCATAAAATAATATAGAAAATGTTGTGAAATTGGTGTAAAGGATAGTTGTTTAAACATTATTTCAATCTCTGGTACCGTATGTATGAGTTAAGTTGTCCATCAAAAAGGCTATATATTATGTATCTCCCGCTCGTTTTGATCATTATATTTGAACTTTATGGTCTACTTCACAGGTCAACTTGAATATAAAAATGGCTGCTCTCAGCGGAAATGATAACCGGAAATAACAATGTTTCGTAATCGGTTAATTCCGTAAGGAATAAAAAAATGATTCTGATGATTAAATTGAACATCGTTTTTTTCTAACATAATTTTAGGTTTGTTCAATTGATTCAAGATATTTAAAACCATGTAAATATGTTTTCTCTATTAACTAATCCGATCTCAACATCGGTAATTTTCGTATATATGACACAATATGATTAGTCAGATTTTAAAACTCTTTGGTACTGTTCTCTGATTGGTCAACAATATTTCACCCACGCCATTTTGAAAATTCTTCCCGGGATGTATTGAGAAAGCTGGAAGTGATTTTGAATAAACTCTCATTTGCTCGCGAGTAAAATGGATCGAAAATCAGAAGTTCAGCATAATCATGGTACACAGGATCATATATATGAACCAAGGAAAGCAAATACATATTAGGGAGACTGACGTTTTTTAGGCATCATATCCGGACTTTTCTGGTGTAAACAACGACAGTTGCGGTAAGATAATGTATATTTTAGCACATTAAAGTTTCAGTTTTTTAAATAATAACTTAGTACAAAGATAGAGGAACAAAGAATGCCTTTTTTACCCATTTTGTAGTATTGTAGAAAGATAAAATAGTACGGTTATTGGCCATGTGGGGAACAAGGGTTTTTGTGATAAATTCTGATTGGGGAGGGAGGGGTGGAAGATGGGGGTAATTTTCAAGCCTTTGGCTTCCTAGTTCTTATTCATTCCAATTTTTTCAAGTTTACCAGAGACGAATTATTTTTTTTCTCTTCAAAAACAATTCTGTAATTTGTATAAACTCAAATTTTTTCGAGGGGGGGGGGGGGGTAGGTTGGGTTCGGGGGGGGGGGGGGGCAGTTTATTCAAATAACATTGGGGCACACATTTTGTTTACTCTTTCAACA